AATCAACACACCAAATACGATTTAATAAGCGAATTTTAATATTGACAAAAAAGAAAGAAAGGAAAGAAAAAACGGCTCTTAAAGAAGATAAAATATTTATTGGTTTTCTAACGTTGTTAAAGCATGACAACAGGTGTCATTTTTATTAATAACAATAAACACGTTTTAAATTCAACAGCATGAAGTTCTGGAAAAAGGTACCACAAAGCGACGAAGCGGCAAAGGAGACAGAAATGCAAGCCATGGATGCCTGATGTCCAGTGTAATTTAAATCTCTTCAAATTGTTATATCGACTTCACTCAAGTTTATCTATATAATTTTATACAAGCAAGCCGCAAATTTTAATTTTAATTTGACTTAAAAGTTAGGATTAAATTTTGTTCTCATGTTTTTGCTACTCGTTTTTGCTACTCGCACATGGAAGGTGCTGAAGGCGCAAGTACTCGTTTACGCTCAATGCTAACAGACAAGCACAGTGGTATGGGCTAGCTGTCTTAATATAGTCATGTCTTCCCTTGACACGTCTCCCACTTCAAAACATCGTGACATCGCCAGAGACTGGGCAGATAAACCAGTATTACATTAGTCCATTTTTGATAACGTTATGAAGAGGGTATTTCCCCTGGCCACATCCGGCACCACTAAAGTCATCCAAGGCGTAATCCCACGTGAAGGCGCCAGCATAACCTTGGGCTTTTATCCATTCCACCTAAAACGGAGCGCTTTTATCTATATGTGTCTAACGATGGAAAAGCGACTAGTTTATCACTAATCATCACATTTAAATGTGTGCAAGAATTACTGGCGTTTTTCACACCACTGATTGACAGTGCTCTACCACTAGTTCTCGTCCTTCGAAATATGAAATGTGCTTTTTTTCATTTTCAATGTTTTTTTTTTTTTTGTTTTTTTTTTGCATCAAGGTAATTTGTTCAAATGGTGTTGTTGGCCTTTACTATGTTACATTTAACTTCTTATCCTTATCCTCACAAACAAAAAATAAATAACAAGACATACCGCAACCAAGACAAAGATTTTTACGTGAATAAAGATATTTTTAAAAATCCTACCTTGGTTTTCAAACTTATCTGATTGTCAAAACTAATCCACTCCATTCCTCCATATTGAGCCTTTCCATAAGCGTACGGCACCTTGGCTGTATCGTCCATGACATACTTATAGCCTTGCTTTAAGAGGCTGCAAATCTAAAGACAAAAATTTTGAAGTGTCAGGGGCAGATCCAGGATTATTTTTAGGGGGGATCCGACAGGCCTCGGATGCAAAGCCGACCCTCCCCCCCCCCCTCCCCTTTGGCGGTGCCAATTGGTCCGGTTTTCATGAGGGGAGTATTGGTGTGATTTTTTGTCAGAAATCGGAGGGGGGTCAGGGCCCCCTGACACCCGCCCTACATCCGCCACAGAGTGTCTTGAGTTTATAGCAATCTTGTCACGGAGAAAGGTTTTATCCCAATTAATCGTTCCGTAATCTCTACCAATTTGTATGATTTACAGTTTTTGACATTCTTTTTAGAAGTAGTTGTAGAATATTTTCACATATTTAGTGTTAACCCGTTTTCATATGTCAAGCTAATGTTTAAAATGTGAAAGGCAATATAAGCCTTGCGTCTAATAACTTTCATATAAGTAATACCTCGTAGTAAGCGAGGAATCCGGCTTGTCTTGTAAACGTTCCTGCTGGTCCTGCCCCCTTGTCAGGAGCACCGATGCCGCAGTCTTTGTCATCGACTAAGGTAAAAGTGTGCCCATATGTTGGAAGTCCTACAATTAGTTTATTTTTTGGCGATCCATTTTTCTCCCAATACTTCATAACCCACTCCTACAATAAGGTAAAAGAGACGTTTCAAAATGTGTTATTTAAAATGCAAGTACAGAACATGTACCTTCAAGTTAAGGGTCTTCATATGTAAGTTTCTTAACTTACATATATTAGTGTGGTCTTTTAAGATTTTAAAATAAATGATAGACACGCATCCTTATAAATTCAAGCCAACGAGTACCAATACAACATGCACGTGCAAATAATGTTACCAGAAAAGCATAAGAGTCATGTCTTGTGCATCCTGAGATTCGAAGACTCTTGGGAAACCCTCCTCTCGGCATTAGTCAAGGCGGTGTTAAAGGATAAATCCCAATAAGTCGTGGTAATGATGAAGGTTTTTTCCACCTCTATGCAATATCAACTTACCACGTTAAGCTGGGTATCGGGCCCCTTGGCTCCTTTAAATGGATACAGTGGACTGTTCAGCCCGGTCACATTGGCCCATGGACCCATCAGGTCGTATGACATGACTAGGACATAGTCTAACGTTCTGAAACATGGCGTTAATGCATTATCAAATGCTTTTGAGAATACCTCGACAAAGATCAAGCGAGCGGGGTAATTTTTTCATTGCTTGATATATCTGAAATGTATACCGGTGTCTCCTCCCAATTGTAGTGGATTCATGACATACTTTTATTATTAAAGGATTGGAAAATGAAAATATTACTAATTTATCTCACTTACAATGAATTGTGACTTACTTTGAAATCTTCGGAACATCATATGCGTATTTAATGTACTTTAAACCTGCGGCAACTGCTGAAGTTAGCAATAATTTTGTTTTGTTAGAATTCTTTGCTTCTTCTGTATAAGCCGCTTGCAATTCCTGAAACAACGTTAATGACATATCTTGACTTGATATTATTTTAAGTCCCATGTTACGCAGGAATGTATGGTGGGCTTTTTGGATAATTATATAGTTTTTTTAACTCTTAAGGAACATTTGCTGGAATGAAGGATTGATCATGTATTATTTTTTACCTGCAGAAGTTCAGTAAATGTATTTATATCCGATGGCTTTCCTCCTCTGCTTCCTGGGTATTCCCAATCTAGCAGAAGACCATCAAAAGTTCTGTTCCTTAAAAACTGGATTGACGTCATGACGAACTCTCGCCTGCTTTCCTTAGTTGCCGCCATTTGACTGAATGGCTCAGATTTCATGTTCCAGCCACCCACAGCAAGAAGTGTTTTAAAATTAGGGTTAATCTTCTTAAGGTCATTGAAACGTTCATACCTAGCAAAATATGTTTAAATTCACAACTTATGTTATAATTTTAAACGCTACGGTCCTGATAAATTGTTAGAAAATAACTAAGTTAAAAAGGAAAATTAATAAACCAAGGCGGTTGTTTGTTTCTTAATGACACGATTTTTCGAAAATTTGGAAAAAACAAAATCAACAGCATGTGGTTCAAGATGAAAGTAAATTGCCGATAACGTTGTTACGCAATTAATAAAATTTATCCATTAGATCTCCCTCTGAAAGTTATCAAATGTCTCACGTGATCCACTTACAGTCCTTTTTTCCAAGGCGTGGAGTCATCGTCCCACTCATAGGGGGCCAGTTGGTTTCCGTTCAGCTTGGCGAAAGCGTAAACGCCGTGCGTGCACAAGTGGGGGTCCACCTGTTCCGGAAAGAACTTCCCCATGCCTTGGCGATACTGGGCCCAGTTGGTGAAGAAGCAAAATAATGGCTTGGATGTGGCGGTTGATACTTGAACTGCAATGACATAATGAAAGACTGATCATTTTGTACAAGGAAGTGCTAAATGTAGAAAAAATGTATTTGTAATTAAAACCACATAAACGTTAGCTATTAATAGATGTGCACAATCACTTTCAATGCTGAATAGCTTGTTTTGTATACTTTTAAAAATATAAGTATGTTATTTAAATATTTTCATTATTTATTATTATCATTATTATTATTTTATTATCATTATTATTATTTCAACAGTTCTTCAACCTGTTGCAAGCTGAATCATATTGAAATAGCGATTACTATGCATCATTCATACTGATTAGATATTTTAGTGCCTCCTTCCTGTTGCATGCATATTATCCCTTTCATCTTAATTTTCAAAAAACATTTTACATTTGGTCAAGTGGAAATAGTAATTGCAAAATGATGCTTTTAGATAATTAACAAAATCCAAATACCTTCGTTGTTTTCTGTCCCTCGTGTACATTCCAAGGTGACAGCAGTCGTAAGTAGCAGAATGCAAATACTCCTGTAAGTACTCATGGTGACGCCAGTGCCTCACAAGTCCACAACGGTGACACAAAATACTATGGAAAAATCAGTAAATGGTCCAGAATAATATGCGTGCAGCTTCACATACATACATACAGTGTATATGCTGCAATAATGGTAATCATATCTGATAACATAGTAAGTTGCGTGATTGATACTGTGATATGAGAGCATAGATAATCGAATAGTAAAAGTTATGTATGATTATCTGTAGTGTCTACAATGCTTTCATTATTCTATTATCAATGCTCTCGTATCACTGTATCGAGCAAGCAACTTGCACTATCGAATTTGTTGCTATTTGTCGTGCTCAATATAATCATTATTATCTATAAGGGTAGACCCCAATATACCGAGATCTCGAACTTGGAAAAAATGTCATCTACTACTTTGTGCGAATCTCTTGCTTTTGATCATGCATCACATGGTCCTGACTCCCAGTGTGTGTGTGTGTGTGTGTGTGTGTGTGTGGCTGTGTTTGTGTTTCTAAGACCACAGGTTGAGAAAAACGCTTTGAGCGCACGCCTGTTAAAGCCTACAATATATATAAGCAGATTTCAAGTAGCGCCTGTGGTACATATGGTATTCTAGACTCTTGATGAGGGGAAAGAATGAAAATTCTGATGGACTGGGAAAAGGAAAAAGACTAACAACACGAGATCAGGTACACGATGAGTTAATCCGTAGATACCGAACTTTTAATACAATATAGTGAAATATTAATCTGCAATAGACATCTGACATTTAAAGTACCAAAATATTAAGGATTGAGCATATATATATATATATATATATATATATATATATATATATATATATATATATATATATAGTACAAATTGAGTTAGATACCGTACCTTGATGAACCTACAGCATTCTGGTCTTGTGTTTTGATGAACATGAGCAGTCAGAAGTGCACAAGATATTCACAGCCACATAAATCAGCAGTTGACTCACAAGACATCCATTTCCTCCATAAGTATGCGTTTACTATTACTTGCAATGATGCTTATACCTACACTGCGTTGTATTCTTCTATTCACTGGCACGGTCACGGGAAGAAAGATTAATCACGGTCACAGTGCTATGACTATTGTTTCCAATACACTGACCATACGCATATGCAGGTCAGACAGTATTAACTTAGTGTGGTCAGTCGCTTTCTCAACAGATGTCTATCGCAGCGTCTTAGTCTACTATATATAAAGGGAAGAGTCATCATATCTCCAGGTGTTCATATCATATGTAAATTCATCAGGTCACACAGCAAGAGAAAAAACGAGTCACATTCGTTCCATTTCTTATCGTCATGCAACTGATAAATAATGACTTGCCTGTGTCTTTGGTTTTTTTACTCCATGGACTCTAATTAGGTCCATGTTTACTCCGATAGGCCTGTACTCATAATGCTTTCGGAACATTAAGATTTTTTTTATAAATGTGTGGTGTGAGTTGTACAGATAATACAGAGAGAAACTCCACTGCACATTAAATAATGGGTCAGCTAGTAAATTCTGTAAGCGCGTGTTAGACGTTTTAAACATACATCCAGGCCCAGAAAAGGCCCACTTTTTATCAATATTTGATCTAGATGTCATTTCCGTTGGATCAATTAATTCCAATTTTTTTTATTAGAAAAAGACCCCCTTGGAAATTGCTTTCATCCTGCTCTAGCCTACTAAATGTACACGGTAGCCGTGACTTGAAAGATGTTCACGTGAAACTGTTTTCAAAATTCTTCTGGATAAAATTCTTCTAACTTTTAGATGTTGGTCGTTTTCAAAATGTGTAAAGTTAACTTTTTGCAGATTGCTCATTATGTAGGAGTGGGAAATATATTAGAGCTGCGTCTGTAATCCGCTACAATTTTTCACCCAAAAAACAATATTAATGTAAATGACACATTTCTTGTAAGATTCTACATCATCTCTGTTTTATTTCCGTACTTATCCTTCATCATCTCTCTGCACAATAACATGCATTTTATGCCAAAAGCAGCGATTAAGATGCTAAACGTGCCATGAGACTACCATTAAGACAACCAAAATGTGACAAAGCAAAATTTGGAGACATTTTGGTTTTGCTTAATGTACATTATACACAGCTCGCTATCGCTAGGACACTGCGATTTAGATTTCGGCTAGAACACAACCTAAAACATAAGCTATAAACTTATATCAGCAGACAACAGTCATCGTAATTTGTTTCATTGATTTCAATTTCTATTTCAAGCTTTGCATTATTTCATCGGTTTGTTAGTATATTTTATCATATCACACCAAATACTTTTAAACTATACAGAACAGATATTCTTTTTTAAAAACTTAATTTGTTTTGCTGGAAAAAATAAAATAGTTACCAAAGCCAGAAAACTCCGTTTCTACTCTATTAAGATATTTATAAATATGTTCTCGCAGTGGCCTTTCAGACGCAGACACAAGGTCCATTAATCCGAGTCACCTGTAATAATAAGGTGACGGGGAAAGACATCTTAGTTGTTAAGAAATGTCTCACTTAAAAGCACAATAAAGTATGAACGACATACGCCCAATAACACAATGACCAACCATTTCCTACATAGGTTAATTACGACAAATATGCTTCAAAACGTTAAAAAATACATTAAAGCATACAATTGCAATATTAATTAATTGCCATTAAGAGGGATGCTATAATTTCATCCCATTTGATTCAGAAACGAACATCTTTCCTCTTCTTCCTAAATTAGTAGACCGCAATACACACTGAAATTTAATGTCTTACACATTTTGGTGACGCGACTGCGTATACTGGGACTGTCAGCTCCTGTGTGACATTTCTCGTCCGAAGGAAAGCCAATTTGGGGCAAAAAGCGTGGGGAATTGGAACGTTTTACACCGGACTGGAGGACATCAAAGCTCGACCCTTGGAGGTCTTTCTCGTGAATCTTGGCACACATTCCGGGAACTGCTTATGAAAGAAAAAACGCCATTTCTCTACCGAGATTTAAGCTTACGTGAAAAGTGGACGGTATCGCGTCCCGAAAATGGTTTGAAGACATTTAGATCAACCTTATAGAAGATACGTGAACAACTTGAAAATAAAAGCATTTTCGAATTTTCACATTCGGAGATTGCATTTCAAACATTCTGTGACTGCGCCTATTTCATCCACATTCAAGGCGGAGGAGAGAAGGCCCAGATAAAACTGAAACAACGGACCCGTAGATCTAGAGCAAAAGAAAAGTGACACTGATAGAATAAAATTAAGAATTACAAAATCTAAATTTGAACATCTTTTGCCACTTGCCATGGAGAACCAAGAGATGAGTGTCACGATGCAGGAGCGGGTAAAGGCTGCCCTTACGGACCGCCTAGGAATGTTCACCCGCAGTGACGCCCAGAGAGCGCGGTTCATGCAGTACTGTGTCTACATCAGTGTAGCTGTCCTGCTGGTACTGTCAGCGATGATGATCATCGTATTTCCCATTGTTTTCGACAGCTTTTATGGCCGTGCCGTTCATCCGATTAATCAAGGTAATGGTTATCACGTACAAATTAGATATATTGATGTTTGCATTAATTTTGATGGTGTTTAAAGAAAACATACAAGGAAATATTGCTGATGTTTTACAAATGTACAAAAAAATGTAATTTTTTAAACGTTCTGAGCACTTTCTTGCTACCCATCCCCCCAAAAAGTAAAAAGAAAAGCTATGGACTTCCTTTCCTTTATCTGTGTTTTTAGAGAAAATGTAGGCCTACAGCATGTTGAAAATAGTGCCAAATTTTTGCCAACGTTGCTCAGATTGAAATTATTAAATTTTAAAATAAATATACATATATATATATAACCCAAACTTTAACAAACGTGGATAACTAATAACTTATCTAAGGTCAGACGGGACGAGCTTCGTTAAGCTTCGAGACATTAAGATTTAATGTCACCATATAATTTGCATCAACATTAAGCTAACATTAAGTCTATCTTCCCGAGTTAAATGTCTAGTTATATGTTTATTTTTATTCAAGAGGGAATTTTTTATTGAAAAAAAGTTTGAAATGAATTTTAAAGAGAAAGGTTAAAGCATTAAAAAGTATTATGTATCTATTTTCTAATCAGGGTTTTTCTTCACCCACGTAAAACGAATCCCACTTTTTCCATCTATTTAATATAAATATTCTTGGAAGGCAAATCAGCGTGTCTGTTACAGGCCTATGAGGACATTCAGGAAATGATGAAATTATATTATAACTATTTGTGGGTTGTACATTTTACACTTTTCATTCCAGATACTTTAACAGCCACCACAGCGGAAAAGCACGTACCAATAGATAAACAAGAGACAACTGAAATGATCCCGACAACATCAACAGAGCTGGAATTGTCAACTGAAGTCGATATAGCAACTACGGAAGGTCAGCCCTCTAAAACAACAGCCAAACCAAAGAAAAAGACAAAAATCCCAAGTACTACTGTTACTACGAGAAAACCAACCACAACAGAGAAAGCCACAACAACAACAACCTCTCCTACAACTACGGTTCCAAAATCGACTACCTCACCTCCATCCACCACCACGACGACCAGAAAGACCACGACCACCCCCCTCAGCCCCACCATCCCCCACTGGTGGCGACTACGCTTGTCGTTCTCGATCCCCCAGCCCTGCAGACGGGGTGCCAAATACCTGCACGTGAATTGCAGGAAGTACCACACCTGTATGACCGACTTTACCCTCCACGAGGCGCAATGCCCGGGCGGAACGATGTTCAACCCGCGGTCTAAAAAGTGTGATCTGGAGAAGTACGTGCACGAGTTCTGCTACAGAGTACGGCTTACGGAGCCCGAGCCGCCTGTGCAGAGGCGAATCATAACAACAACGACCACAGAGGCCCCGGAAACGACAAGTAGGTTTTCTGTGCAGAATTATGGTTTTTCTTTCATAAAAGGTGTTACATTATTTAAATGTCAATCATTCAATCTAACCTAGGATCCCACATATACCTGCGTAAATATGTGTTGCATACATATCGTCAGACCAAGTTTTGTTTGACAAATTCCGATAATAAATAACGATATCCTTATAAGTCATAATAATGATTTTTAAAACAAAACTTTTACTAATATTTTAGTGATAGTAATCACTTACTTTGGAACAAAATTATTTGTGAAACAACTACGTTTCATGTCAACTCGTCACAAGAGCATCATCAGGCCGAATGCCAACATGTTGTTGTTTTGATAGACATGTGAACGATTCTCAATCGAGTTAGTAATTGAAATACGTACATTTTCAGCTCCGCCGCCGCTTTTTAACCCACCAATTCCGTGCGAGACGAACAGTTTGTTTCCCCACGTCAACTGTACCCTCTTCTACAAGTGTGGTGACAACGGTTTTCCATCGGTGCTTACCTGTCCCCCTTCAAGCGAACCGGTGATAGGTACCCTCTTCTACAACGAGCGTACCAAGACTTGCGACCAATTCAACAATGTCCAAGAATGCACCATGGGCGCACATAGAACCGTCGCCGTGAACTTGATGAACCAGTTCAACCCCCCATTCCCTTGTAAGAACGGAAAGACTTATCCTCATCCGGACTGCAAAAAGTACTACACCTGTGTGGGAGAAGTTCCCACAGAAAAGACGTGTCTTCAGCAATTCAAAAGAATGCACTTTACGACGAAGGGAGGGGGTTGTGTGGATGCTACCAAAACTTTACTCAGTGGAGAGTGCAATAATTCGGACGAAAGACAAATAGATTTTCGAAAAGGAGACGGTGGCAATAATAACGTTGAAGATACAGATAGAAATTGATATAGGGAACAGAAAGAGAGCTGCGTACAAAGTTTATCATTTCCAAATAGATAACTGACAGCAAATTGATTAGAATTTTTAAGTACAAATCAAAATTTGGCATGAAGAACTCATACTGATACCTTTAATTCACCATACAGGTTACAATTAAATTACATTATGAGTTTGTTTACAAGCATGTTTCTGCTGTGAACTTGAATGATAAAACTACATAGTACTGTGCAAAATGTAATATATACAAATATACAAAATATCAACAAGCCATTAGACGTTTTTACTTATAGGACTATACCCACACATCAAAAGACATCCAACATGGCAAATTCTGCAGCTGCGTCATAAATTGTTTCTCTGCCACAGACTATGGTTCTTCAATAAGGCACTGCATCACCTTCCTCAAACACTGGATGAAGAATATGCATGCTACATGATACTACAAGTCATGACTGGGACACATTTTACATACCATGATGTAATGTTTTAAACTGTTATAGACTCTATCAAAGAGGTTCTAAATTCTTTATCTTGTTGTATTTGTCATTGCTGACTTCAAAGCTCCTTTGGTCTTTTCCCCCCGAGATTCCTTCTCTGGAGAAAGTGAATTTTCCTGAATTTTTCACATCTTGGGCATTGTAACAGCAACATGGCTGATGGTCAGTTTTCAGCAAAATGTATCACCTTTTTCTCCTATAACATAAATGATTATCCATTAAGAAAGAAGTTTAAAACATAGGACAGCATGAAAATAATTGGAATAAAGTCACAACATGTTTTTCAATCTAGTTAATGAAAAAAGACAACGAGTTATAAAACCAAGGGGCCACTGCATGAAAAGAAAAAATCCTCCAAAAAGTGAATTAATGCAAATAAATATTTCTTTGTCAAAACATACGGATTTAATCAACATTAGTAACAAGAATTTCAATAAGAACATGTGGACAATTATAGATTTATTTTAATAGCCTCAAAAGCAAATCTGCAATAAAATATAGACATTTACACTTTTGTTTGTATAGATCAGTTAATTAGTAGGAAACAAGGATTACTTTTTCTTTGGTCTAGACCTCCCAGGGCCTGAGGGTGGACTCATGATATCTGAGCCTGCTGCAGAAGAGTCCTCCAAACTGTCATCTGCTTCAATGTGACCGCCTGGTGTGTGTGGGTTGTCATCAGGATGCTGGGAGTCTGAGTCATCTAACACAATAGGCCTAGGTGATAATTATAAATAACTTCTTAAGCAAGACAAAAAAGTTGTCCTATAATTTTGCATATAAATTCATCATAATATCAATATTCAAAGTATTCTTTTCAGTGCCATATCAGTAAAATTACACAAAAATAAAAAATAAATTAAAAATCTCATGGAGCACTGCTGATTCTCTACATCACTGCATGTCTTTTCATATATTATCAAATTCTTATCATCACACACTGCAGGATAGAAATGACATTTTCTTTATTTCTAAAGATACACACTTTATATCTGACGGCTCAGACTTGATATTTTGGGTCCACTTTCCTTCCTCTTCTTGATGAAGACTTCCTGTTTCATCTGCTTGGTCTGAGCTAGTGTCCAGTGAATGAAAGCCTGAGAAATACACCAACATGATACACTGTTTAGCACACCACTGTAACAGTTACAGATAATGCAACGATTCAACTATATTAATGAACACATATGTAATATTAGATAAAAGATATTTTGTACCCAGAGCCAAAAAAAAAAATGCTTGAGATTTTTATAGTTTCACTAAATGAAATGTAAAGGCATTTATAGCTTAAAACACATACTTTCTAACTGCAGAGGCTGATCAGACTCTGTGTTATCATCTGACTCTGGTTCTGAGGATGGAAAGTGAATGTCAGCAAAGGATTCATCCTTAACCCTAAAATGCACAAGAAAGCATGTGAAACACAAGTGATACAATTTGAACAGATGCAATAAAAACTTCCAATTTGTATGTGAAAACATAAGTCCATTGTCAAGTGAAACATAGTAATTGTATGCATGTGGATGAGAATAAATGTACCCCAGTATGTGTATGCCTGCATGCACTCATAGAATGGGCATGCAAGCAAACTGTCATTTGTTTAAGCACAAATGTACTTGTATATATGCTTTCACATCTGTGGAACTCACTTTGTTTTTTCCTCTTCCCCAATCTCTGAATCTGTAATAGGCTGCTTTACTTTCTCATAATCCTCTGTTAACTGCTGGCAAACCAGTAGCATATTGTTGTGATAATTGACCACCCGTGTCTGGTAGAATTCATGAAGGTTGCTTATACTTCCTATGCCAACTTCAAAAAACACTTGCTGAATAATATCCTTAAAGAGATCATAAAATAAGAAAAAGTGTTACAGTTTTCACTTTGTAAGAATCAATCTGATATTCTACATGGGACATGGAACCATAAAAGTGGCTTATATTTTTACTTTTGTTTGCAGAATTTTTTTTCTTAAATTATGCTCAAAATGCATACAGGCACTGAACTGATATCATTATAAAAAACTCAAGTTTAACTTTTAGCATTCTATTCCAAAAGACCATAATATATTATCTTTTTTACCAGTATCTCCACAACAAGACAGTATATAACAGTATATAACACTAAAATAGATAAAACAGTACAAAAAGCCATCACACCTGAAAGCCTGTATAGCCATGCAAACACTCATTGTCTTTTGATGTTCGTAGCAGTTTAGTTAGTCTGGTCATATAGTCATGGCTTACATCTGTCAATGTTTCCAGGACCGACTCTGGACAAGCTGAAATAACAATATAACTAGCTTAGGGTCTAAACCTAATAACAGAACCTGCAACAGAAATGGTCTTGGTTTGCAAAATGTCTACAGAAAAGAAAGTAGAACACCAGGGTTAACCAGAGTAACTATTCATCTTAATTAATTAATTACTAATGATAAATAATTGATTAAAATATTTATCTATTTTTATTTTTCTTCTTTCTTTTTCTTCTCATTGCTTTTTTATCTCTTTTTTTTTTAAGGAAAAGTTCTGGTTGGGCTACATTTGTTAGTGTAATCCCAATATAAACCTTGTCTTGGTATAACGTTTCATTTATATGACCCCAGTTCTTGAATCTTCTCAGCATCAATAGGTATTCTACAATTACAATAAGTCATTTTATATAAGCAAATCTGTATTTATCAAGTTAATTTACAATTATTAACATTATCTCACTTTCATATCCTGCATGTGCACAAATTGCTGCCACTGAATTTCTTAACAGCATCCGACATGTCATGCTGTCAATTTCTAATGGAGCATTGCCTATTCCCCTTGAAAAATCACTGAAAAAAAAAGAAAGCAAAAAATATCAGGACATGAATCAAAAGAAAGAATGGTCAAATCAAAATACTGTACTGTCCAGATCAAAACTTGTTGTTTTTAAAGTGGTGGCATCTTCATCTTACATTAAATAATACATTTAATCTTGATCTACACACAAACTTCTAAAAACATTTCCATCTATAAAAGATAAATTACTTTGGCTTAAGAGAAATAAATACATTTATTCTTCTTTAGTTAAAACATTCATGTGTTTAGTTAAATTACTGCTTTGAGGCAAAATGTCTTTTTCTTTAGTACAACTCATCATCATGGTGGGGTAATGATGATCATAACAGTAAGCTTAACTACTAAGAGCACAAGGTTTGTGTCCGGGTGTTACCCGGTACATGATTTTAGCCTTCTAGTTGATATGTTGATATTTTCTCCTTTTAATTTATGATTTATCCTGAACAAATCCTTGATAGACTGGCAACAAAATCATCAAACTTTAAAATTTCTACAGCCATTTGATATATTATCTTGACAATCTATATCACCTTGAGCACTTTGCAAAAATTGTACATGCTAACATGATGAGATCTACCTCACCTTTCCGTATCTTTAGGAAGAAAAGGCAGGGGAGTGTTTCCATTGTCTTTTCTGTGACAGCCAAAGCTATCACAATCTGGCACCGGTGATGGGCTGGGGAAACTGATGCCTTCTAACTCTGCTGGGCTCTGAAACAGTGTGGAATTTGAATGACACTTCACAATTTACCAGCAGTCAATCGTATCATTCCCAAGTGAAAAGACTTTTTTTTTTTTGGAGGGGGGGGGGGGGGAGGGAGGCAATACATCTGGAAACATCTTAAGCCTTTACCTGAACATACTGTGCACAGTTTTAATAAATTCAGATCTTACACCACAAGTAATGGAAAGTTACCATACTATCTCTCTGTTGCTGTATGGACACTGTCATAATCTTGAGTCTCTTTGCATGCTGGAGTAAGCGTATCGTATGAACCATCAAAGGATCAATAGCAAACTGCTCTGCTGGAAGTGGACTAAAATACAAAGATTTGCAAACTGTTGGCCAAAACATATTTTGAAGGATATACATATTTGGTGAAAATTTCATTGTTTTATTAATGTGAGCTGTGTTTTGTACAAAAAAGTCAAGAAAAATCAACATTTTTAAAAAAATGAATAACATCAAGTTCTGACATAAGGTTTCAACAGAATGTATGTTGAATGCATATTATGCACTCACTTAAAACCATATAACATGGGTGTACTAGTAAAACCACATCAACATACTCGCTGGTTGGTGGATAATGCCTGGCTGAAGGTTGATGAAGCCTGGGACCTTCTACCTCCATTGGTCTAGGTTTTGTCATTTGTTCCCTCTCAATTGCTGCTATCCCTGGGTCTGTATCTGGGAGGCTTGGCATTTCTCCCCAGTGAGATGCCATCATTTCTCCTTATTGCCTTGCAATATAACCTAAAGTCTAATGGACGAGTAGTAAGAGCATACAAAGTTATGAATTGCTGCCATTTGGGCAAAGTTGAAACCAACAACACATTTGACGAAATACACAAATACGGGGTTGAAATAAAAACATAAGCTCACCGGTATGTAGCAGTCAAGTTTAAACTTTCAGAAAAATCGGAAGCCGTTTAAATAATCATTATGCACTCAATCAACATACAACGCTCGAAACCTGGCGAACTGTCATGGGAGCAGCCATTACATAGCAATCACGCACTGACAAATCTGAGCAAAATAAAATTATTATAAATCGATAATAATCATCAAACACGTTGCAGATAATCAAAATAAAATTATTTTAAGAACTATCTTGAACGTAAGTCACAAATTTACAATTGTATTGTTTCGTATACATATTTACTGCGGAATATCGTTGCCTAGATACATCACACTAGCGCAGCCATTTTGGAAAATGATTTTAATATGGAAGTCGATTGTCACTTGAAAATACGGGCATATCTGCCTATTTTTAATATCATCGTGCGTTAAACATTATAAAAAGGTAGGTTACATCTTTAAGTTCACCTGAAGTTTTGAAATATAATTTTAAGAGCTCATTTTGTGCAGTTCGTACGTTTAAGGGAACGCACTACACGTACATGAATTTGATAAATATTTGACTGACGTGTCATTTTAATTTGACTAAAATCTCTTCAGGTTGGATCTTTTTTAGGAATGTTTCATAATATGATACAGCAAACTTTAAATCTTTTTTAGTTTGACAAATAGTAGTAGACCCAAAACTTTTAAGTAAGTTGAGAGGTGTCCATTAAGTATTTAGATTGTGATATAAATCGAAAATATTATTGAAATTTAAATTGCCACTCCACCGTATTTTCCTGCCAAAATGAATTGTTATAGATTGTTATGTGTTTGAAATCTCTCACAGTCATGTTCATGTTCTGTTCTTCTTATATCTTTTAATTCAGATTCTAAAGACAATAAAACCCTTTATCTAAAAGTTTATCTGGAGGGTACCCAGTATGTTGTTATTATCTTCTCAGCCTACTTGGCTAGCCACTGCCAGCTTGGTATATCTGTATTTTAAATGGAAGAAAAGATCAATTCCATATACAAAGATGGGCCAAGCAATTATTTGCGGCTAGGACAAAATTGCTCTTTTCCCAGGAAAATTCAGTTTGGCAGGAAAATCCGGTGGATGGCCCTTTAACCATGATGCATTTTTAGAAGACCCTTTAAAACTTTTTTATTATGAATAAGGCAACAATTTTGCACAGTTATGACACAAACTTGATTGAATGACCAGTAAATTTACATATGGATTGATAAAAATTAAAAAAATTACCTAGTACTGTATGTTATAGAGGTAAAACCACAGTTACTGGAGCCATCTATTTTTCTTTTCATTTTGTTACTATTTATGTATTTTTCAGATAAATAAGAAATAAAAAATCTAAAGATGACTACAGCTCTACCGGCTATCCGCCAGCATTCTGGCAAAATGGGTCAGCAGAACATGCAGCAGCACCACATGCCCAGCCCCCCTGTTACTGCCAGGTCTCCTTCCATGAGCACAAAGAGCTACTTGAAGCCTATGCGCAGGTCTCTAGGCAAGAAGGAGAAAGAGATGTTGATGAGACAAGCAGCGCTTCGCTCGCAGCAACCTGAACTGACCAAGAGGGAAACAGCAGCGTGAGTGACATATTTTAAGAATAAGATATATCATAATGATCAGTTTTTGAAATGATGCTGTGTTTACTATAACTTTTCTATGATTTGAGTGATTGACCAGGCAATTAAAGTATGTATCTTAAAGTAACTACCTTGTGTAACAATATAGATTGTTCTAAGGTTACACATTTTATGGTGGAGCACAGATGTGGTGTATAGCAAACAGCTCAAAAAGTAAAAATTTGCCCAACCTGGCAATTAAGGTTTTACAGTTTCAGTATTTGACAGACCAAATTTGTTCTGGCATTGACTAGGTAATTTATCCTATTACAGCTGCAACCTGATGTTCATTTTGTACATTGGATTGTCAAATAAAAAAAAAAGTTAAACAAATTTAACACTTTATTTTAATGTTTTGTTTCTTTCACCAGGTACCGTAATACCTATATGCACAACCTGTGCCTGGACATGCTGCAGGAAGGCTTCCATAGGTCCTTCTCTGAACTGTTTGCACTGGTCAAGCGCCAGTACTCTGAGAGAGAGGCAGCAGGGCCAGAGTCCATGATGTGGACACAGATGATGTTAGATGAGGAACATGAGAAATTAGAAATGCTTAAAGTTTTCCTTACAAGAGCTGAGGCTGCCCTTAGAAAAGGTGAGTTTTACAGCATATACCAAACCCGGAAGCAAAGTTTTTGGAGAGAAGAGGCTCTGTCATGATGAAACCCATCTGCTAGACTTAATTTGTGCTTACATTAATTTTATGGATACATTTATTTTGAGTGTGCAGATAAGTATGCCTTTTTTTGTGTCATGACGTCAATACCACTATTAAATACATAGATCTATATTTTGTCTAGCATACTATCAAAACAAATGTATGCACCACTTTTGAAAATATATTCATATCTACCATTCCAGATGACTATGAGGAAGTGTACAATGCACGGTATCAGCTAGCCAAGTATTTCCAGAGCACAGGAGACAAGTGGCTGTCAGATCATTTCTACACCACGTGTCTGGACACCAGTGGCTCCATCAAGGCTAATGTGAGGTTCCAGGCTGAGGCACACTGTAATGTGGGACTGGCTTTGGAAGAGAGTGGTAAGATATAGTGCAGTAGTATTAATCTCAGTGTAAGGGTATTAGTCATCTTGTTTTGCCTTTTTGATTTATGTTAATTAGACATGTTATTAAAAAATGTTACACTTTACTTTTCTGGTAATATATTATGAGCATATTCATGTGCACTGCCAGGTAAATATTCCATTTGTCTAATAATGTAAATCTGACTTTTACTAATGATAGTCAATTTGTACATGGGTAATCCTGTTTTGTTGAAGTAAAGTATAAACCTTGGACTAGATTTTTTAAAAAAATTGTCACCGTTTGAAAGATTAGATTATATTGAGCATGTAGTAATACACCATTACATCCATTTCCAGGTGATTACTTCAATTCTGCAGAACAGTTGGAGAACTTCCACACCCATGCCTCAGAACACAAGGATTGGGTCACCAATGAGGGGGTCACACTGCACGCCGTGTCCTGTAACCATCTCATGAGGGTGTACACAACTATTGGGAACAAACTGGAGGCTAACAAAGAGCAGGAGGCCTCTCTGTCTTATTTTGTGAAAGCTTACAATATGGCTGTAGAAGGTGAGACAAGGGGGATAGATGGCGTAATAATAATAATAATAATAATAATAATAAAAAGCTTGCTGGAATTTTGTAACTTAAATTTGAAATTATAGATATAGACTTTATGTTGTTCTTATTTCTCTTCTGTCTTTATCGGTTTGTTACTTGTATTTACTTCTGTCACCTGTGCTAGTGACAACAAGTATTTGAAAGAGATGTTTTAGGATATAGGGCTAACTGTTACAGAATTGTCATTCATAATGGCAAGCTGGTCAGATGAAAAGAGTTTTATTGCTGTAATTGTTTATAATTGCAATATTCTTTCTCTACAGGTGGTGACCTAAAACTCAAGGGAGAGTCCAGCTACAGATTGGGGCTTGCATATGAAAAGGCAAAAGATTCTGAAACTGCTCTTTTGGTAAGACCATCAGGACCATCAGATATATGATTGCCAGACTGTTTTACAGTACCCAAATTCATACTTGCAGTAATCTTTAGTTTATAAAGTTGGTTAAGCTAATATAGTAAGTTGATTTAACAATTATTTTCACATTGGAAAAGAGAATTTCAGAATATTTCAAAGGACTTATGTTCCACTTTTTCTCACATTCATTATTTAATGATAAAAGAAATGTATTAGTATATTTTATTTCATTACAGTATCTGAATGACTTCTTGGAGACCTGCAAGCAACTGAATGATGATGTTGGTATCGGCCAAGCATGTGAAGCCATTGCAAAGTCTTATGAAAGGTAGTTTTCTTATGACTTATTGGTTGGTTGAATCATTAATGGGAATCATCTGAGATGGCCCATATTCAAGCTGAATTTTTTGCGAGATGTGAAGCAAATTGGCTGTCAGACTAGAATGTGTGGTGTCTATTGTACAATATTTTGTAGTGCTTTCTAAGCAGACATTCCTGATGTGTTGAATGAAGCCGAAAAGTTTATTGCTTAAAAGTTAACCACACCTCACTTTTGCACATTTTACACTGACAGCCTAGTTTTATGCTGTCTACAGTCTTTGATGATTTTCATTGATTCAGAAGATGATATATATTATTGCATATCTTGTCATTATCTTGTCTGCAATATTTATTGAAGAGTATATCTTGTTATGGTTATTGTTATTATTCAAATACGTAATGTGCTGTGAAAATATTTATGGTTCATGTGATTAACAGCTGGTAGGACTTACAGACATATGACACATGCATTTGATGGATTACACTTGGTCATTGCTGTGTGAAGATAATAATAGCTTTGTGATGCTATACTTTCAGTCTTGGTAAAATCAATGAAAGCATCCGTTATTTGGAGCAGTTCTGTGAGGTGGCTGAAAGGAGTAAGCAAGAGAAGGCTTATAGCAAGGCTTGCAGCAATTTGGGAGCTGTTTTCAATTCACTGGTGAGTTTTGAAGAAATTGGTATGTAGCTTTCTTTTCAGTGAACAGATCAGTGATTGAGATGGCATAGGGATAGACAGTGTTATTCTTGTAAATATGTGTAATTGTTCACATCAAATGTGCTCAGTAGCAGTTTTAAAAGTGTGTTTGATATATTTTTATATCCAAACATTTTCTTGTATGAACTTAATTGGAAAAAAGATAAACAAAAATACAGTCCCAACAACTAATGGTTTTGATTATCTTTAATTTTTCAAATTTTTAACAAATATGAAAATGTGTGTATTTTCAGGGCAAATATGACAAAGCCACAGAATACTTCAGCAAGGCCTACAACCTGTCCAGAGCCCTTAATGACCAGGAGTCCATCAAGACATCCAGGGTCCATTACGGTGTTGCAATGGCCCACAACATGATGCAGGGGTTCTGTAACCACCTGATTACCCCCACCAAGCCCAGCATGGAGAGACAGGTGGAGTGGAAGAGCACCAGGGTGGATGAGTTCAGCAAGGAGATACCTCAGGAGAAACAGGGTATGTGTTTACAAGGATTCTTGTCTCTAGGATCTCTTGAAATGAAAATATTAAGTATATTGATATTACTGAAACCACTGAATTTGTTTTTAGTCATACATAATATTTTGTCGACATATTTGCAAGGATGTAGAATTCCTCTAACATTATGATGATTTGGCTCCTTTTTCCATATTTTATCACCATAACTACATAAGACACAAGAAAGCCAACCATATAGTTTTATAGACCATGAATTGTTTATTTGGAGACATTTTTGTTGATAAATAAATGATCATAATGATATGTTTTATTATTTGTAATATATATCAATGTGTTAACCTATTTACAGAGCAAGAGCAACCAAGCACAACCCCAGCATCCCACCAAACACAATCTGAGCCTGCTTCCAGGGATGTGTCCAACATGGAGCCAGCAGCCACAGAGACTGCACCAGCCACTGAGGGTGAGGGTGCCCCAAGTCAAGGCGAGGTAGAACAGGCTGCAGAGAACCAAGAACCAGCAGACAGCCAAGCACCTGCAGAAAGTTGAACCCACAAGACCATGTAATGAACTGCTCTTGTAGCTAGTATATTAACAGTTCTCTGGTCTGAATGAAGGGAAGAGACAGACTTGAGTGAAAACAATAGACGGATAAATCCATATGAAAAAGACATCTTGATAAACATTGAAATCCATTCTGTGATAGGTATTGAGTATAATGAAGGAAAGTGAGAAGAGAAAGTTACATCAGTTTTGTGACGTGTTTGGAGAGAATTTTGTTTGATGGCTAAAATTCTAGGTCTACAGACAGTCATACCATCCGTCCAGATTATAGTTTGATTAACCTGCATATGCCAAATTTCACCATGAATGATTCTCTCCAAAATAAAGGTCGATTATATTCTTATTGAACTAGTGTATATAAAATATAGTTTATTTTTTGTCTGTTATGTCAATGTTATTTAGATTTATAGTTTAGCATTTTATTGACTCATTCATTAGGCATTACTTTCTGTATAATGCTTATTTCATGATGTAGGAAAGATATTCCTCACTTGTGAGTGCAGACTTCTTTGCAATAAGTAAAATGTTACACATGCTGAAAAACCCTTTTATGTTCATACCTACACGTTGCACATTAAAATTGCCCAGAACATTATATAGAAATGAAGTAGTAAAAAAGTGGGCTAATTGTGTGACAATTTGTAAATAAAGTCTTTAGAATTATCATTCTGTGTAAAAGTTTTAATTTAGTTATTATTCTTCCAACATTTAAATCTGGGTTCTCAATAAATAAGCTGCCCAAACGATAAATACATGCAAAAATAATGAAAACAATTCAACGATCTTTTCCATTAGTTTTATTCTATTCTGTAAAATTGTTAAAACCATACATTGTGTTAGAATTCTGTTTCACACCACAGAAAAAATATTCAGTTCAGAAGTACATAAGCCCGTAAAATCAGAAGTCTCATAACACTGGCTGTTTACTTGGCCACTGTATTCAGCCAGATATTACAAATGTAACTTCTCTTAACAAAAAGTAACCAACTCCGCCCTGGGCCTGCCCAACCAGACCAAAAAATACGTTCAGCATGTCCACAATTGCAACAGTTGAGACAAATCACAACCATCAAAATTGTCACTCTAGTTTGAAACATCAGGTATGCACAGAAGACTTCTGCCACATTTCAGTTGGAAATCTTCACAGTTACAAGAATCCCTCTTTAAACATGACTGTTAAGAAGAAGGAAATGTCACTGTCAATCACGTCAACTTTCCAACAGTAAGGTGACAGGAAGCCTACCCATCATGGTGATATCACTTCATATGTGCTAAAAACAACATCAGTTTCCACATCTAAAAGGTCTGGTTACTATAAACATTCAGTCATAGGTGTCTGGTCAAATTAAAAATTCACAGAATATTAATTCTGTGGTTTCAATGCATCAAGGACTTTCACAATGTCCCCATTCTTGGACTCGAGGAGGCGAGTGAGCCAGCCATCTTCATCCGAGAACCCCATCTGTTTCATCTTGACCAAGGCATCTGCCACCTTGGGGTTGGGGTGAGGTGGTGTCTGTGAGAGCTGGGGATAAAGAGGCTGCTGTCCTTGCTGACTGGCTCCACTTGGCCCTGGCTGACCATCAATAACTGTCCATCCATTCTCTGTATCACTGCCCTGCTTTTGGTCTGGTGCAGCATCCTACAAGGGAAACAATTGAAGAATGTTCTTTAGAATAACTGATACAACAACTCATATGCTGGAAGGGACACTAAGTTTAGAACATATCTAAACAATCAGCCAAATACCCTGAGTACAGTATAAAGCACAATTCAATAATAAAATGTAGTAATAATAATAATGACATATCCTATATATATACTCAGTATTCCAGTGTTCTAAATAAGCACACCAGTGGTCATTTTTTCACCAATTTAAACCAGTGAGAAACAAATGGCTACTCACCTGCATAGGTTCATCCAAAGGAGGGGCAGAACTGACAACAGGGGCTTTACTGGCATCTGTAAGCTCCCCAGTATCTTCCTCCATTGCTGTGGCTTTTTCACCTTCCTTTGGTCCTTGATCCTTGCTTGTTGTTGTTGAAGCTTGACTCTGACCCTGGTTCTGACCTTGACCCTGACCTTGGGTCTGATACGGTGGCGCCCCACCCCACATTGCGAACTGTTGCCACCAAGGCACCCAGTTTCCATCTCTGCATCTCTGTCGCTTTCCCTTGTGCTCCACATCGACTTCTACATCTATGCCTATGTGTAAAATAAAACATTTTATTTCCTTACTGGAATTTTTTAGGAAGTATAATTATTAAACACAAGCTATCTAAACATTCTAGGACCTGCTATGTGTCCTAGACATAACCAAACCATTTTTTGAAAACGTAAAGAAGCTGGAAGATCCTGAAATCAATATTACAATAAGTATTCTTCAGCATGAACAATTTTAATGATTAATACAGCTTATTTCAGTATATCTTGACAGTCTAACTTCTCACCAAGAGGATCCAGCATGGCAGCCACACTTTCTCCAACACTCTTCAGAAAATCTCCTGGAGCACTGTTGGCATTCTGCTGTCCTCCCTCTGCACTTCCGGCTGCTGTAGCACCCTCCTCGGGTGGCTGCCCATTAGGCTCTTCCTGCTGCTGCTGCTCTCCCTCTCCCTGTTGTTTTTGCTGCTGATTCATCATGTTGTGGAGCCATGCTTTCTTGAAACATTTTTTCATCCACTTTGGGGGTCCATTGCCCTTGTGCCCACCCCAGGGCATTTCACATGACCCACAGCTCACACGAGGGCCCCTGGGACCGTGACCTCTCCATGGGCCAGGTCCACCATGACGACCACCCTGGTTATATGGTGGTGGTGGCGGGAAAAAACCACCCTGAAAAGAAATATGCATTATGGCAGATGATCATGCAGATTTCATTCAGAAACAAGGATTGGCTGCAGAAAGATTTCTAGAGATATACATCTTAATCATCATTCACCTTTTGATAAACAGACAGCTCCAACTAAATTAAACTATTACACTAAAATTCTGATATTACAGAGAAATCAAATGCACAATAAGAAAAAAAAAAAAAAAAAACGCCACATGATTTCATTTAAATTAATAAATAACCATAAAATCCTTGAAACAAACTATAAAGAAAACTTTACTGTGCATTTTAAAAACTTACCATGAAAGGTCCATGGCAGCCTGGCTGAGCAATGCGCACCATGTCATGCTCTGTGTGGAGGCCCTTCCCCTCACAGCTGCCACACAGGTCATAGTCTGGGCAGATCATACACTTAAATCTGGGTCCATAGATCTGGCCTTCACAGCCATCACAAACTACACCGGGGTGGTGGACCTTTTCATAACCCTCTTCTTCTTGTGGCTGTTGCTTAGGGGCACCTGTCTCTGAAATAATTAGGTTTCCTTGAATTGAAATGTCATCTCAAAATTGTTGGAAAAATGCAAATTTGCAGATGCACCTTAGGTTTGATCATAAATTTTAGGAAAAAATACTTGGATTGACATCTTAAAAGAGAAAAGTCTACCAAGCAACTAAAAAAAAGACAATTTTCAATTTATTTGTTTATAAATAAAGCTTTGCAATAAAGGCAAGCTCTTTTGTAATCCTACATACACTGATCCACCTGAGGCTGACTCATCAAATTAAGACCATGTCACAATGTAAACAAATGTATTCAAGATGGCGGAGTTCAATTTGGGAATGTCATTCAATACCAGAGGTACATATATCTTCCATACAGAAAAAATACAAAATGCAAATCAACTTATTTCATTTTTATATTTTCATTACAGAAATTTCTTTTAGGCTCCTCTCCACACACAATTTCTTTTCAACTAACCTGTAATGTAGACCTTGAAGATATCTCCCTGGATCTGCCCCAGAGCCTCTGTTAGCTCATCATCACTGGAGAATGCAATGTTGTCTCCCTCCACATCTACAATACATAATAAACACTGTTTGTATTATTTCATGATGCATTTTAGCCTTTAAATTATTGGCTTCATTAAGGATATTTCAGACCAGTGACAAATAAGAACATATTTCTTAATTTGCTATGTACCGGTATACTAGTACATTGTATCCCTCTCTACATTAATTATACCTACACAGTATGACAACTTCGTGTTAAAAAAGCTAAAATAGAAATGTGTCTGTATCTAACGCTAAAAAAGCTTGTCATCCTTTTTTTTTTTTTTTTTTTTTTTAATACTACTGGACTCTTTTTTTTCTAGTGTACTGCACTGTATTGCGCATTTAAGGGACAGTGAAAGTTTTTTACTTCAGATTTCTGATGCCGAATTCCAAATTTTTACATCGAGTAAAATATAATGTAACATACCGTACGAGTCGTCATAATTTAATTTAGTATTATTTCTTATTCTATATGCTTCGCCATAGTATCTATTCTATAATTCTCACTCCATAAAATTATGCAAACATCATCAAAATTTTTAATTCATGTACAAGCATGTCTTTACCTTTCCAATACAGGGAAAAATTCTCAGATGCCAAACTTGGAAAAATCTGTGCCGTTTTCTTACAAAAGTAAGAGAAGTTGGTGGCTACATCTTGGTCGATGGTAAACCGTCTAATCTCTGGTTGTTGCCCTTGCTTTTCAAGGTACGCTTTCACTGTCAGGGACATGGTGAAATACGCACTTCTCTCTGTCTTGAATTAGGTCGAGTTGATGTTCGTAGCGAGTATCTCCCTCTCTTCGTCAAAAGTGAACGTATGCTAAAGATCGTACACACACCGGTTATATACTGCTTGTCACGACAATCTAGAAACTTCTTAAGTGATTCAGTGACAGCTGTTAGTTGACAATTTTGAAGATAAAATTTTGCTGAATCATTTAGTCTTATGAAACGTACGGGAGAGCTTACGCTAGCTTATGCAGGTTTTGGAGCACGTGACCAAAACATAATGCATCGAGCTTTTCCGTACATGTTCGGTTCTGTACGGAAAATTCCTTTTACTTCCGAGTCATTTGGTCTAGAATTTTCGGGGATGACTAAGGGATAAAACATTTCCAACTGAAACATAAATTGCTTCAACACGATATTAGTCAATAAATATGATTTCACCGAGTGTGTGCTTGCTTGATCAAATATCTGAATTGAAGAAATAATCATTTTTTTAAATAAAATATATCACTATTGCGGCTGCCATATTAACGACCTACATTTAATATCTAGGCCAAAGTTAACGTACGACGTAAAATCATCCGATGCACTGCGCGCGATGTGATTGGTCAAAATCTCGTGGTGCTACCAGCAGTGGACAACAATCATGGCCGACCAAGGAGGGTGGCCGTTTTCCTCCGATCCTTTACCCGATCTAGGAGCAAGTTTCAATGTACCTTCAGATTTAGAAACAACAGGAATAGGTGACATAGATGGTAAGAGCATTTTGTGAAAATTTGGTGTTTGTAGGACTTGTACTTCCAATGTTATGCACGTTGTTTACAACTTGCCTCCAGTCCTAAAAGAACCGTGTTTGTGCGCTCCAGCTGTCAGAATAGTTTCATTCGCATTAACTTTGAAAAGCATGACATAAATGGTCAACACTTGATTTATTGTATGGGGCTGCTGTTGCTGCAAATGTTTCTGGTCAAATAACTACAATTTGTTGGTCTATTTCCAACTCCTTGAGTGTAATCTGAGCAATTGTTTTATGTCAGGGAAAATGGACAATCAGCCTGTAACTATTAAGAGTGACGCGACGAGACCACTCTGTGCTCGACTTCTCTTATAGTCTTTCTAAATAGATATTGCTCTGAACGATGAAAAATGTATTTCAATATCAAATTCAGTTCACAGCAGGTCTTGATGTTGAGTGTCATGGTACTACTGAACCTACGCAAGTACTGCATTTTGAGAGCACATGGTGATCTACCCCGTATCTTGAGGAAAGTTGACTTTTATGTGTACATTTCAGTGTTGCATCAGTTGTTTATTATATTTTTATGTACAGACACAGATATNGCCTTGTTAATTTTCTTATTTTCCAAAATGAATCAATATAGCAATATATATCTACACTTCATTGTTTGTTTTGCAGATATGATGCAATATTTGTGTCCTGGTGCACCTCCAGATGATTTGTTTGATGGTCAGTTATCAGCTATCAAAACAGACCCAGATCTACTGTCTCCAGTGCTGGATGACCCGAACTTAAATCTTGACAATTTGGATGCTCTTCTAAATTTCAATGAGCCACAGACACTTAAACCTCCCCCTGATTACAAGCAAGTAACGCAGCAGCAGCAACCTCTGAGACAGTTGTTTCAACAACAGCCACAAATTCAACAGAAGCAGCAACAATCAGTGCAGAATGTTAAGCAACAGCAGCCACAGCAGTTATTATTACAACAGCTAGCACAGCAAGTGGAACAGCAGAAATTACAAAATGCCTTGCAGAATTTACAACGGCAACAGCAGCAGCAGCAACAACAGCAGCAAGCACAAGTTACTTTACAGCAGTTACAACAGGTATGTACACATATGTGGAAACTGCTGCAGAATGACACATTAAAGGTAAACTTGATATTTCAGAAAGTTTGAAATAATAATAATTAAAATTGTGATAAAAGGAATAGGCAGTTTATAGTCCTGTGTTCATTGAAGTAGGTTGGTTTTTGGTTACATCTAAAATGTGTTTCTAGTATTGTTGAAATATATTTAATTATATATTTTTTGTTTTCCAGTTGTTACTGCAAGCACAGATGAAGCCAGATAACTCCCCAAAGGTTGTTACCATCTCGACCACCTCTCCAGCTCTGAGTAATCTGAGCAATGTGAACACTGTGACCACTTCAGTCAACCCTGTCCAAACTGTGGTGACCACTAGCCAAGGCAGCGCAATACTGACCACTAGTATCCCTATACAGCTGGTGGACGCTGAGAAGGTTCCCATCTCCAGGTTGAATACATCTCAGACCAAAAACCCACCCAAAGGAGAGAAGAGGACAGCGCATAATGCTATTGAGAAAAGATACAGGCTCAGTATCAATGATAAGATTCTGGAGCTGAAAGACCTTGTGTCAGGGACTGATGCTAAGGTATGAAATGTTTGGAAGTATTATTAAGTGTTTTTATGATGCAAGCATAAGTATTTGGTTGAGACTGGAAAATAGTCTTATTTTCATTTAACATGGAATTAATTGTTGTAAGTATATTATGTAACTATTCACACTTTTATTTTTCTAGTTGAACAAGTCTGCAGTATTGAGAAAGGCCATTGAATATGTGAAATACATGCAACAACAGAACAATAGATTGAAGCAGGAAAATATGGCTCTCAAGATGGCCTTGAAGAAGCAGAGTGAGTATTATGGATCGTACTTACATAGGGTGGGGGTATTCAAAAATATGTAAAGAATAGAACCTGCTTAGATAAGGGTGCAATTATTTCAATAGTAAGGATTGTTTGACTAATAGATATTGTTTTTATTCAGACATTGCAGATTTACTGACCAGTGGTCAAGAATACTTGACCCCACCTAATTCTGAGACTGGATCTCCAATCCACAGTCCTCCAACCAGTGATACTGACCAGCCAGTAAGTCCATGTTCTAGTGAGGACAGCAACTCTTCAGGTAATTTTAAGGACTTATGATGTGATTTATAGCTTATGAAATATGCTGTTTTAAAAATATTTGTTTCAGCATAATACATTTGCCTGCAAAGATCTATCACTGACTGATATGAGGATGAGAAGCTGAGGGTTTCTGTGTAATGTTTTCAGATGGCAGCAGCAGTCTTACTACCCGTGCCATGATGGACAGGTCTCGCATGGCCCTGTGTGTGTTCATGTTTGCTATCTTGGCATTCAACCCTTTTGGTGCACTGATGGGCAGTGTGGACAGAGGAATAGCTGGGGATTACACAGGGGGACACATGGGCAGTGCAAGGACGCTTAACAGCCTGGGAAGTGAAGGTAGGTTTGATGAATACATTAAATCATAAGTCATAAACATTTATAAAACATGATTGTGTGAATTGAGATTCTGTATGGTATAAGATGAAAAAAGTACTCCTCGATGAGTAACATAGAATACCTATATGTCAGCATCAAGATTGTCACTTTTTACTTCAGATCTTGCAAGTGGTCCAGTCAGCTGGTGGGATTGGTTATTCCCTTCAGCATTCATATGGATGTTGAACACAATACTGGTGTTTGGGGTGCTGGCCCGTATTCTCATCTATGGAGAACCTGTGACCAAGCCCTTATCTGAAACTTCAGTGCAGTTTTGGCGGCATCGCAAGCAGGCAGATATGGATTTAGCTCGGGTAAGTACATAATAGGTGTGATGGTGTTGGAATTTAATCCAAGACTTTAAATTTTTTATTTAATGTTTTAATTAGTACCACC